CCGGGAGCGGCGGCCCGAGCCGCCCCCCACGCTCTCGTGGACTTCCCCCTGCCCGGGGGGCGCCAAGCGGCCCGAGCCCGAGGAGGAGCAGCTGAGCAACTACAAGCTGGAGATGAAGCCCCTGCTGCGGATGGACGCCTGTCCGCAGGAGGCGCACCCCCAGAGGCGGCGCCACAGCCGGGGGGCTGGGGGCGACCGGCGGCCGGAGGACCGGGCCTTCGGGCTGCAGAGACTGAGGCCCAAGCCCCAGAATAAGGAGAACTTGCGGCCGGCCTCCACGGAGCCCACGGTGCAGAAGCTGGAGAGCCTGCGGCTGGGGGAGCGGCCCGAGCCCCGGCTCCTGCGCTGGGACCTGACCTTCTCCCCGCCCCAGAAATCCCTGCCTGTCGCGCTCGAGTCTGACGAGGAGAACGGGGACGAGCTCAAGTCCAGCACGGTAGGTGGTGCCCAGAGGCCCGGGGCGGCTGGAGCCGGCCGCCCTGGGGGCTGGGGAAAGAGCCAGGATTAGAGCCAGGCGGTGGGCGGTGGTGCTGGCCCCGGAGTGCAGGGTGGGCAGTGCAGGGCGGGCGGTGCTTCTATTTGTAGCAGACCCTGGGGCTGAGGCGCTGCATGGCCTGTGCCGGGCGGCGGCAGGGCGGAGTCCTGGCAGGCCCAGCGGCAGGCCCAGCGGGGTGCGGTCTCAGGACGGCAGGCCCAGCGGCAGGCCCAGCGGGGTGCGGTCTCGGGACGCTGCCCACGGAGACATCCTCTGCCTGGCCTTGTTCTCCCCAGGGTGGGATTTTGGAGGAGGTGGTAGCGTGCTCCTGGGCCCGGCTGGCCTGACAGCACCCCGGGGGCCAGCCTGCACCCACCCTGAGCCAGCGGGCAGGGAGGACTGGTAGAACGGAGCCTTGAGGCCGGCAGCCTCCCCTGCGGCGAGCAAGGCACCCCACAGGTTGGGGGTGAGACATTCGGGGCGCTGCCCAGGTCTGCGGAGGCAGTCAGCGGACAGCGCAGTGGCACGGGGCACCGGTCTGGACAGAGGTGGGGACCCTGGTTCTGTGGGTTTATCACCGTTGCCTGAGCAGAGCGCAGCGTCCGCCCCGGTGGCCCGGGCAGCTGTGGTCCCCCCCTCCCCCGGAGTCCCCCACTGGGACGCAGGGCCTGTGCCCTGTGAGGTCCATTTCTGCCTCTGCTCCGAGCCTCGCTGCTGGCTGGTCCTCCGTGCCCCGCAGAGCAGCCGCGGGACTCTGGCCGGGACAGCCCTGCTGTGCTCACTGCGTGCGCTCCAGCAGCGGGCAGGGGTGCGCGAGGCACTGGGTGCTATTTTAGGGTCTGCTGTGGCGGGCAGCATGGCAGGCAGGCAGGGTTCTACGGTCAGCTCGGTTAGCCGTGCGGGCTCTTTCGCACCAGTGTAAGGAACGGCAGGGAAGCCTTTGTGGCAGCCTGGTGCGGAGGTTCTCAGCCGCGATTGGCTGCCTGGTCCCTGCCCTTGACACCCAGGAACTCTCCGGGCTCCGAGGGAAGGAGCGCAGGAGGGAGACTTCAGGACCGCACTGCGGGAGGGCCTCTCCCCCACCGAGGTGTGCTGGGCTGCGGCCGGTGCCCTGGGTACCCTTTCCTTGCCCTCCGACAATGCTGGGCTGCGGCCAGTGCCCTGGGTACCCTTTCCTTGCCCTCCGGCAGGACTGGCCCGGCCCAGATGTCACGGGTCAGGCCTGAGCACCAGACACCCCCAGGCCACATCACCCTGAAGAGAGCTGGGGCAGTAGCACTTGTCACCTGGTGTGGAGGAGTCCCTGGGGATGTCTGTTAGCACCTCTGCTGGTCAGGTGTGCTGCTGCATCTGTAATCCCAGCCCCTGGGAAGCTGAGCCGGAGGAGCTCAAGTTCCAGGCCAGCCTGGGCTGCGCAGCGAGACCTTGTTTCGCTGACTGGTTTGTAAGGCCCTGCCTCTGCTCTCTGGAGTCTAGCTGTGCATTTTTGGCCACTCCTGGAGTTTGCACGCAGGGCCTGGGCGCTTTGTGCTCAAGGCTAGCGGTCCACAGAGGGCTGCCATGTCACCTGCTGGTCCCGAGCAGGAATGCCCCCATGCTGCAGGGGTCTGGTGGGAGGGAAGTGAGAGCAAGCCCTAGGTGGCTGCCCCAGCACTGGCCAAGGCCAGCGGCGGCCGCGCAGCTCAGGTGCCCCGTCCCTGCGGGAGCACAGAGCGCCCAGGAGCGGCCTGGCGGCCGGGGCCCCTGCGCTCAGACCGTGGCTTTCCGGGGAGCTCGCCTGTCCACGTGCACGGCCCAGTTCTCGGGCAACCTTCCACACCCCACCGCTGGAAGTGCTGTGTGGGTAAATGCCCCTCCACCTCCAGGAGGCCTCACCGCCTCGGGGCACCTCTCACTGTGGCATCAGAATTCCCGGTTCATCCGTTGTGGAATGAACCAGAACTTTATTCTTTTTACGGCTGCGTCGTAACCCCGTGTATAGACATAGGCTTCTCCTCTCCTCACGCATCAGTTTTGGACCAGTGTGTTCTTCTGGGTCGCCGTGCGTCCCCTGTGAGCGTCACACTGAGCGTGCACGCGCACTCCTGTGTGCACGCATCCCATTTCCTAAAGGCCGTGCCAGGGCCGCCAGGCCATGGTCCTTCTGCTCAGCCTGCCATGGCCTTTTGCGATGGGAGGCCTTGGCTCTTGTGATGGGGAGCAGACCGAGGCCCTTTGTGCGACTTGCCTGGCCTGTCGTGTCTCTGAGGTCTGACCCTGACAGGTTGAGGCAGGGCGGGCATGCAGCCACTCCACGGTCAGCGTGGCCTGGCAGCTCGGCAGCAGTCAGGGACCCCGGAAGCTTCTTCCCGGGGTGTAGCCCTGTGGCTGGTCTGGGCACAGGCCTGTGTAACTCCTCCTCTCCTGATATGAGTGAGGTAGGCCTAGTCAGTGCCTTGTCAGGGGCGGGGGGGCGGGAGGGACCCACAGGGCAGGGGCAGGGCTGCACAGGAGCCGCACTCAGCGACACCGGCCTCCAGCGGCTGCGCTACCATGGGACGGAGCCTCAGCCATCCTCTCCTCTGCCCGTCCCCGCGGGCGTGGGGCCTGGTGCTTGAGGCTCTGGGAAGGGTCTAATGGGGTTAAAGCCAGCAGAAAGCCACAGGGCCAGTGTGCATTTAGAGGGCCACGGAGGACCGTGCTGGACACGGGAGCATGCTGGCCCTGCCTCCGCTGACGCCAGGTGGGAAGTCTGAGATGCCAGTCTCCACACTCTGCCAGGAGCTATGGTGTCTAGGGACCGGCCTCTTCCCTAGGGTGCCGGGACGCCAGTGCAGCGGTTGGTGAGGCCGCAGGCCCCTCCCACCCTTCCTGCGGGTGCCAGCCACAGCAGCCCTCCTCCAGGCCCTGGTGCCCGCGGGGCGGCTCGCGTCTGCGGGGACACGGGCCCGCCGGGGGTTTGGGCGGCTCGGGTCTGCGGGGACACTGGCTTGGGGTTTGGGCACCAGCCTCACCTCTCCTCTCTGTTGCAGGGCTCAGCTCCCATTCTTGTCGTCATGGTGATCCTGCTCAACATCGGAGTCGCCATTTTGTTTATTAACTTTTTCATCTGATGAGTGTCTCCATGGTAACAGTGTATAAATGGGGACTTGGAAAGCAAAACAACAAAAGGGGAAGACGCGTGCTCAGAAGCCCCACCACTTCCAAGTCTTTCCACAGAAGAACACGATTGGGTATTACTCACAGTTTGCCTTTTTTTCTGGGTAATGTTTTTTGGATTTTAGCCAAAATCCTTTGCTTGTCTAGCACTGCGCTGTGTGGCATGGCGAAGGCGGCCAGCACACCGACCCTCAGCTGGATGTGGAGAGAAGGGGTCCCCGCAAACAAGCAGCAGAAGAGAAGAAGTGGTCCTGGCCCTGGCCTGCCCGGCGGGGTGTGGACAGCGGCGGTGGCGGAGCTGCCCGGAGCTGTCCACGGGGCGCCCCGGAGCCGGGCAGGGAGCCCACGCCCTGCTTCCCCGGGCGGTGGAGACCGCTGTGGCACCAGGAGCGGGTCCAGGCCCAGCGGGGAGCCTTCTCCTGCTTCGGGTCTGTGCTGCCAGCTTGGGGGAGAAGAGGAGCACTTCTCTTCCCCACACACAGAGGCAACCCTTCCCCCGACCCCCACCCCACCCGCCCAGTCCCAGCTCTCCCTGGAGGCGGCCTCCAGTCCTGTCCTCTGCTCCACTCATTGTTTACCTGTCAGCCATCCTCCCGCCAGATCCAGGGGCCGACCCAGCCCATCTGAGCACCGAGGCCCAGGGGCTGTGCCCCCTCCGGGCCCGTGGGCCACGGACAGTCCGAAGCACGCCTGGGCTCTGAGCATGTGGCGTTTGCACTTAGTATGCAGGATGTATATTCAGGCTTCCGTGTCCCTGGCAGTGACGCCCCGTGGACGTCACCTGTCACTGTTACTGACCTCCATGGGGTCTCACATCTTTGCACTGTGCCTGCCTCAACCTCCCCTGACAGATATGCACAGCCCCTCCAGACGCCTCAGTGCTTCCCCCGCACGCTCTGGCCCGGGACACGGCGTAACCCAGTGGCTGGGCTCCCTGGAAGCGGCTGCACATCCCCCCCTCCTGGATGTGCAGCACGGCGGAACCCAGTGGCTGGGCTCCCCGGAAGCGGCTGCATATCCCCCTCCTGGATGTGCAGCACGGCGGAACCCAGTGGCTGGGCTCCCCGGAAGCGGCTGCATATCCCCTCTCCTGGATGTGCAGCGTAACTTGTGTCCGTCAACAAACACAGGTTCCTCATGTCTCCGCCTTCTCTACAGGGCTGTTCCCCGTCCGACAAAAGAACAAGGGACGCCAGAACTGCTGGGGCCTGGGTCAGCTCTCCCTGCTGCAGTGCCTGGGCCTGGCCAGGGTCAGCCCAGGGCCTCGCGGGACGCCCCGCCAGGGGCCTGGTCCGAGGTCAGCCCGGGGGCCTTTGTGTGACCTCCCGTCAGTCTTCTTGGGTGCAGCCTGTCTTACAGACTCTGCCTTGCTTTGCTTCTGTTTAGCTGTTTCTCTGCTACCTTTCAAGCAGATTTCTTTACTACACTGCACTGGATTGCTATATTTTTAACCAGAAATAAACGGAAGATGAGAGCATGTTCCAGTTACACTCAGCTTATTGTTTTCCATTTTCCATCCTCTGCCTGTTCTCTGGGCTGGTTTGGGGCACGCCGGGGCTGGGGAAGGCGCAGCAGGTGGCGCTGCATTCCCGAGGGGTTTCTGAGGGGACGTCTGTCTTTTGTACATCTTACTCTTCCATTCTTTTTATCGAGTCGTTGCTGCAGACCTGAAGTGAACCAAATAAAGATTCCTGCTCCTTGCAGCTCTGAGAATCATTCATGCTGCAGTATATTTCCTAATTGCAACTCTGCAGCGACAGATTTGCTGGGCAGTGTGGGGATGGCATGGCACATCACTCGCAACTCTGCAAATGCACGTGCTGCTGAGGATCCGTGTGCTTCGTGCCCAGGTGGCTCTCCTGGGTGACCCTGAAACCAAGTCACGGCCAGGGCTGCCCCCCCCAGTCAGGTCCCCAGGTGCAGAGCACTGGGGCCCGACTCTACAAGGCCACCCTTCAGCTGGCTTCCACAAAGCACCATTAGGAATGAGGCATCCCTTGGGCTAGGAATGTGCCTTAGTGGTAGAGTGCTCGCCTAGCATGCCTGGTTTGATTCCTCAGTACCACATACACAGAAAAACCCAGCAGTGGCACTGTGGCTCAAGTGGTAGAGTGCTAGCCTTGAGCAAAAGAAGCTCAGGGACAGTGCCCAGGCCCCGAGTTCAAACCCCAGGACTGGAAAAAACACAAAACAAGAGGCAGCCCACCCCTGCAGCAGCTCACGCCTTCCTACCTGCCGAGCCAAGCCCTCCTCCAGGCATGCAGGGCGCTGTGACACACCTCAACTGGCACCCAGAGCAGCCTGATGAGCACCACTCTGATCCCAACCACGTCCTGGGTTCTCTAGACCGGAAATGCAGAGCAGAGGAACCGAGTGACTTCCCTAGTGCCTGCCCTCTGTGGAACCTGTGTCCCACCCCCAGGCAGAAGGAGCTGGTGCCTGGGCTGCTGGCTCCCCTGTGCCTTCTGAAGGTTAGGTAGTGTGCAGCACATGCTTACATCGTTTAAGGCACCTGGACCATTCTTACCTGTGCTTCTGGGTGTGAAGTTTTGGCACCCTTGGCACACAGGATTCTGGAGGTGAAGACAGTGACAGGGGCAGGACACTTGCCCGCTTGTAGCCCTGCGCAGGGCATGGCGTGGACACGGGTGGTGGAGGAGGCTTGTCCCACACACACTAGGCCCTAGACAACTCAGCTCTAACTCCACGTGTTTCTGCGCATCTGCAAAACGGTGCAGTATGGACTGATCCACGCCTGCCGCTCGAGGCACACGAAGCCTGAAGGGCGCTGGGAGTCTGCTGTGCTCAGGTCCCAAGCCTGAAGCACTGTGGCCATCTCAGGGGGATGTTCTGGGGCTCACCCTTCTCGAGTCCGGGTTTGATTGACGTTCAGCAACTTCCTACCACCCTAAGTTACCCCAGAATGGGTCCTCCGGGTGCACTGCTCTGTCTGGCCCCGCGGGTCCCAGGCTCTAGCAGTGTGGGTGTGTCTGGGCTGCTCTGCAGCCACAGGTCCATCCAGGACAGCGTGTCTGCTCCAACTCTTCAAGGCATGCTCGCGTGCTCTACTCCACCACACAACACGCTTCGTGAGATGGCGGCTGAGAGGCAGCTTGCTCTGCCCAATGAAGCGCGCTCTTCACTCTGCACAGGTGTTCTTCCAGCGTTTCTTGCCTTCTGCCTCAGAAGCTCAGGATGAAGACAGGATCTGTCTCTGCCACTCGGCGCACCACATGGTCCCCAGTGGGACAGCCACAGGCCTGTGCATTTCCCGATGGACAGCGGCATTCACGGGCTACCTCCAGGCTTGCGTGGAACAGGGATCTGCATCCGGAGGGCAACGGGGCAGAGCCAAGGACGGTAGGAGGGAAAGGAAGAGGAGAGGGAAGAGGGTCTCCTGCCTAGAACCAGCTCTAAGCCTAGTGTACAATCCTTGCATACTTGTACAAGGACTTGTTTTTTCTTTGGGGCTTTCTTTCAACTTGACTAAATGGCTTCTTCCTAAGATCCCACTTGATTTTAGGCTCTGATGACTGGGCACTGCAGCTGGCCAGCCCTCTTGCTGTTTCTGGTGTGGGAGTGGCAGGCCTTGCTGCCCTGCTTGCTCGGGCTGGTGAGGCTGAGGCGGTGGGCTCACCTCCTCCTTTCAGCCTTGGCTGAGGATTCTCCAACCAGCTCAGTCCAGCATGTTGGAAAAAGGCCCCAAATGACCTGCACCCAGCAGACCACAAAAATCCGCTAGGCCTGAACTGGAGCCCTTGTTCTCCATATACTGTACACGTGTACACACACACGCACGCATGCACACACGCACAGAGGTGATCAGCCACAGCTGCCACTGGCCATGCTGAGGGCCTACTCCAGCCTGTGTGGGCACGGCCCAGGCCTCCACCAGCACAGGTCTAGTACAGCAGGCACATGGTAGCTCTGACTGGGACGGACAGGGGGGCAGCTCCAGGATGCACCTGCAGGGTGTTTGCTGTCATGGGGGGGTGGGGGTGGGGGGACTCATGTGGGCCAGGTGTGCTCTCCACTGCTGAGCTGCACCCCAGCCTGAGCCTTGTTCCTGGGCAGCTTTGAAGTCCATGAGGGTTCTGTGAACAGCAGCCTGGTCCCCACACCGAGGACAGAGCTTCCCGCTGTGTGGACAGCGGCTGCGGCGTAGCCTGACGGGCCTGCACTTCTGCATGGGGGACCTGGGTTTCCTCAGGCTGACCCAGCACTGAGACGGGGCAGCTAGGGGAGCGAGGCCCGTGCGGTGTGGCACGGTGTGGTGCGGCGCAGCACGGCCTCCTCGCCACGGGAGCTCTGGGCCTGAGCCCCGCTCTGCCAGCGATGCCCATCTTTTTGTTAACTCTGGGATGACGTTACCCTGCAAAAAACCACAAATCCTACATTCTCGTGGGTTACGGTATCCAAAACAAAAGCGTGACTCAAAGCTCTACTTCAACCCAGGCCACACAAACGAAATGGTCTGTGGGCCAACGCTATGCTTCTGGCCAGTCAGGAGGCTGAGAGCTGAGATCTGCAGTTTGAAGCCAGGGACAGACACATCTGAGAGACTCCTATTTCCAATTAACTAGGAGAGGTGGAAGAAAACAAAAGCATCTGGAAGTGGACACATGGCACCATCCGTGAGGGAAAAAGCAGAGCAAGACTGTGCAGTCCTGAGTTCAAGCCCCAATACTGACAAAAAGAACCAGCTGACAACAGGCAGAACCGATGGTCTGCTGTTCGTCTTGGAGTAGACAGGTGTATTCGGACACCAGGAGCTGAGACCCTTGGTCAAGGGCCAAGGACCACTGCAGGTGACATGGGGGGAGGGGCTCCGGTCTCCTGGCTTCCTTCCTGTCATTTTACATGCTGCCTCCTGAGCTGTGACGGAACAGGCAGGTACTCGAGCATCCGGAACTTTACACAGCAAAGCCAGCCAGCAGAAAGATGGCTCTGTGCTCTTCGTTGTGTTGGCTCCAGAGCTTGAACTCAGGGCCCTACACCTGCTTGTGGCTGGTGATCTACCACGGGGACCACGCCTCCAGCCTGCTTTTTGTAGGTTAGTACTGGGTGGCGTCTCCTGAACTTTTCAGCACAAGCTGGCTTTTTTTGACCTCAGGTCAGCCTCCAGAGCAGCCAAGGTGAGAGGTACGGATACAGCACCTGGCTGCATAGATGCTCTTTAAAAGATGCCCAAGAACCCCGCATGTATGCCAACTGTGGCTGCCTCTGGTACCGTCAGGCACAGAGCGCCCCATCTGATTATGCCGTCATCAGAACACAAGTCTTGTAGAAGGAAAGCCCCCACAGGGGGTTGGGGTGCTGTTTATTGAAGCCACGGGTGCACCCAGGGTCTCCAGCGTCCTGTCTCCACCCACACGGCCTGGCTCACCAGCCTTGTGACACTCGGGCTGCAGGAAGATGCCCGCCACAGGGGAGACCAGGGCACACCTGCCACCCGTGAGACCCGTGGAACTCAACTTCCCACCGTTCAGATGGCCTTCAGTCTCGGGCCTCCTCCAGCGCCTTCCTGTGTGCACCAGGCCTGCGTGGCCCTGGCGAGAACCAGCCAGTCCTGCTGGGCCAGGCGCGCTCCGCCTACTGTCCCCAAGCGCGGGCAGCGAGTGTCAGTCTTCTCGTCCAGGAGAAGGGGAACAAGAGAGGGGCAGGCTGAGTCAGGGCAGCTGCCAGGACAGCGCTGAGCGCCTCCGGACACAGCAGTGCTGCACCTGCGTCTTGTCCGCACCACCTCAAGAGCACACCTGCAGAACGGGGTCACACGGGCGGGGCTCACCTGCCTCATCCCCCCCGCTGTCCTCGTCCCCCCCGCTGTCCTCGTCCCCCGCCGCCGCGCCCTCACTGGAGCTGCTGTCCTCCTCCGAGTCGCTCTCCTCCAGCCACTCCTGCGTTTCTGCCCGTGCAAAATGAACAGGGCTTCAGCCTGGGGAGCCGCGTGTCAGGGCTCTCAGCTCCGCCTCAGCCCAGCATCACCCAGTGCCCCCGAGCCTCCCGGACAGACCCGACCCCGGGCCGACAGCCGCTCTGCCGCGCAGGCAGTCCTGGCGATGCCACCCCGGCCACTCCCCCGCTGCCGCCTGGGCCCCGGCCAAAGGTCCTGGAGATAACGGATCTGTGCCTGGGGGCGGCGGCTTCTGTTCCGATGCTAGTCTAAGGCCTTAGAAAGGTGGTCAAAGAGGCAAAGTGGAGGCACAGGACTCAAGCAGCAAGGAGGACACAGGAACGATGGGAAGGCACAGGTGCCACAGACGGCCTCCGTGTTTTGAATGCAGCGCCGGCCACCCTCCACCCCAGGTCCTGAGCCCAGGCCTGTGAGAGCCTGCCCGCCTGCCTGCCTGCCCGCCTGCCGGCCTGCCTGCCTGCGGACCAATGGCTGGGGACAGGGAGGGCACCACCCCGGGGACCGCTCACCTGGGTCCATGTCCACCAAGGTCTTCCATGCATCCATCTTGTGGAGGTCAAGGCAGTGGAGGTCGCTGAGGGTCACCTGACGGTCACCGGCTTCAAACATGCCGCCGTAGACGTAGAGCAGCCCGTGCCGGACGGCCAGCATGGCACTGGAGCGTGGACATGGCTCCGCGGAGGGGCAGCCGGGCTCGGAGGCACCGTCCTCGGCCTCGTCCTCAGCCTCGGGTGGAGGCCGTCCGCCCGGGCCCGGGGACATGAGCACCTGTTTGATTGTCACCACGGTCCCGTCCTCGGTCACCACCTCTTTCACCACCTCTACGGGCTCTGGGGCCCCAGCGGGCCCAGGCTCTTGCTCACTGCCGGCTCCGCACTCCTCTGCTTTACCCCGCCTGCGTTTCTTCTTCTCTGCCTTGGGGCCCTATTCACAGAAGGCGAGCATGGGGAAGCTGCACTGCGGGCAGAGGCCCGCGCTGCCCTAACTCGCAGGGCTGTGGGGACAGGAGCCGGACCATGGGCTCCGGACAGATGCGCACGTCACCTGCGTGGCCCCTTCGGTGCTGCTCTGGAGCTCACTCTGCATCCACGCAGGCAGGGCTGCGGGCACCTAGCCAGAAAAGGGCTGGCTGCCACACAGCACCACAGTACCACAGCTCCTTGAGCCCAAGACCTGTCGAAAAATCCACCCAAGCGCTGAGAGACAGGGCTGGAAGCCAATGGCTTCAAGAACGCCAGGCAGGCCGGCAGGCCACCCTGTCCACACGAGCTGCACGCCATCTGCCGCGCCTCCTGCAGGACACTCAGCCACCCGTTCCTGGCCTGCTTCCTCCTTACAGGATGCTCTCCGCATGGCGGCTGCCTTGTTATATTCCATCCACTCCGTGTTCCAGACACCAAGCCCACCTTGTTCCTGACCTCCACGCATCTCATGGCGCACACTCCTTCATGGACCCTGCCCCATCTTACGGAGCAGTGCAGAACTGTGGCATTACCCACCCCACACGCCGAGAAGCCATGGCAGAGACGCCTGTGTGGCCCTGCGCAGCTCAGCCCTTCACACAGCAGCTGTGCGGCCACGGGAGCCAGCTGATTTCTCCCAAATACCCCTCAGAGGTGACACCCTGTGCTGAAGACCGCATTGGCTCAATCGTGCACCTGTGTAAACCCTAGGCGGCCGAGGGGTCCCTCCCGGGCCAGCCTGCTCCTCCACCTGTGCCAGGCCGCCGGGAAAATGAGGACAGCGAAGGGGATGACAGAAAGCCAGAGATGAGCTCAAAGACTCCAACTACCGCGGAGCGGAGGCACGGCCTTGTCAGAGTGGCCTGTGTGCTCCTGGACCTGACTCTGGGGCCACCGAGCACCTGCCATGGACCAGACCAGGGCCTGGGAGCCCAGCCCAGGCCCTCCCAGGGGCAGAACTGGCCCGGAACCACATGGGCACCGCACGGGCTTGGCCCAGCACCTCACCAGGGAAGCAGCAGCGTGCGTGGGCGCCGGTGAGCTGCCTTGCCAAAGCCCCACCCTGCCAGCCCTGTCTGTGGCACAGCCCCTCGGGTACCTTCAGCTGCCCCGCAAACCAGCGGTTCCTGGTGGCATCAAAGAAGTACAGATCATTGAAGAACATGCCGTCCAGGCTTTCTTCTTCTTCCTCATCGCAGACACCCCCGAAGAGCAGCGTCTGCTGATTCGGGGCTACAGCCACTGAGAAGCCAGACCTTGGGGTGGGCTTGATCCCTGAGGGGTTAATCCGGGTCCATACCCATTTGCCTGTCAGTGGAGAACAAGAGCAAGGGTGAGACTCGAGACGACGCGAACGCTAGCCAAGGGCTCGCGGAGTGCCAGGGCCCTCTGGACGCATGGTGGTAAGACACAGAGACCACCAAGCGCCTGCTCTGCCCTCAACAGAAAGCGCAGCATCAAGCTGCACTGAGCCCACCAGGCCAGGCCCCGCCACGCCCCGGCGTCCTCCTCTGCCTTCGCTTACACCTAGCTGCAGCACTGGGACTGTTCATGGTCCCAGACACCCTTGTTTCCGGGGCCAGGCAGGCCACAACAGCAAGGCCAAGGAGACCAGCCAGGGGGATCGTGGGTGCCACACTAGCAGGAGTAGGCACAATCTCTCAAAGGACACTAGGTGGCGCTGGTAGGCAGGGTACAACCTCACGCGGGCTGCATTCCCCTCTGCCTGGTTTGCTTCCCACCAGCAGCCCAGGGGCCAAAACAGGGCCTGCCTTCCACAGGAGCTGAAGTCCACGCCAGAACGACCCCTGTGCAGGCCACCCTGATCTGCTACACAGCAGACCCCACCTCTCCTTCCAAGGATTATTTCCCATTCTTTCTTAGTGACTCGTGTGACAACACTCATTATGTGGCCTGGTGTGGGGAGTGTCTTCTCACTACAAGAGGAGGAGGAAGAGGAGGAGGAGGAGGGGGAAGGGGAGAGGAAGGGACAGTAGGGAAAGAGGAGGCAGTGGCAGCAGCATCTCCCCTCAATAGACCTTAGAAAAGAATGGCAAACAAACGAACAAAAAAAGAGCCAGAAGTGGCGCTGTGGCTCATAGAGAGCTGAGGGAAGTGCCCAGGCCCAGAGTTCAGGCCCCATGACCGGACCAAAAAAAAAAAAAAAAAGAATGGCAAACACCCCAGTGGGTAGGGAGGAGGGCCCTGTGTCCATGAGGGGCAGGCTGGGCCGCGCGCCGGTCACGAGAGCACTGAACAAAGAACAAGTCTGGCTTCCGCAGCGTGTGAGCACCGCCAGGGCACGGCTCCTGACAGGACGGCCCCGGGCAGAGGAGCTGAGCACAACGCAGGCCAGCCCAGGTCCGGTTTTCTGGGGAGTGAACTGGGGGACTGGACACGAGCCCATCTCTGCCAGAGCAGCCAACGTCCTCACAGCCACCAGCGCGCAGTGCCGCAGCCGAACAGTGCGTGGCGGGCGCTCGGAGGGCTCCAGAGCAGAGAGCCAGAGCCACCTGCGCACTGCCTCCTTCTCCATGTCCTGGCTCCCCGGGGCTCTGCGCCGCGCCCTGCGCCACCCTCCCTTGCTTCCCAGGTCAGGATTCACACCCGCGACACCCCAGTACCACTCACACACTCGTCAACCAACGGTGGCAAAGCAGCAGTCCCCAGTCCAGGGGGAGGGAGACCACAGACATGCGCACAATGCCCCTGCCCAGACACGCTGTCCCCAGTCCAGGGGGAGGGAGACCACAGACATGCACTCACCACTGGCTCCCACTCCCAGGACACCCACGGCTTTTCCCACCCACAGCTCCCAGCCCAGCCAAGCCAGCACCCTACCTTCTCCTCCCTCAGACTTTAGCAGAAACATGTCTGAGTGCTGGGTGCCTCTGTCCACGTCCTTCTTGACTCTCTGGAACGGGGAAAGGAGATGCGTAAGACTGCCCCTCGTTATGGCCGCCCTCTGTTCTCAAACAGGGCTGCTTCTGAAACAAGCTCAGCTCTATGTTGAGCTCTGTCCCAGCGGCTCTGACCTGCTGCAGACCCACCCGAATGACCACAGGCCCAGTAAAAAACCCATCAGCCATGGCCAGGCCCACTGGAACGGGAGCGTGCTCTCCATAGAGCCGCTGTGGGGGCTGCAGGCAGCCGGGTGGAGCGGGGGGGGGGGGGGGGTCCAGCCACCCCTCACTCTCACGCCTACATGTCCTAAGTCCTGTCCTCCTCTCCCTCCCCCCTTCGCCCCCCCCCGCCATGCAAGCACTGGTTGGAGGCCAGCCACCACCATATACAGACATCCCAGAGCTCTGAAGGCAACCAAGCTTCTGTCTCCCACCTCTTGGTCGGCAGCCTTCTTACAAAAAGGAAAAAGCCCATGAGCAGGAGAAAAGGCAGCAAGCAACAGCACATCCTATGATGGACACCACCACAAGACCGCTCACCCTGCTCACGAGGAGGGGGCCAGACACAGAGCAGCAGACCCGAACCACCTCTGCCCACGCGTCCCTCCGTTACACTCGCATGTCCTCTCGCTGAAGGCCAGCGCTCCCGGCCAGCTCCCCCCATCAGGACGGAAGGCTCAACTGTTCCCACACATGAGGCCTCACCTGCTTTGAGTAGCCCCCGTAGATGGCTATGCTGCCCTGCGGAGTGACGGTCATCAGGCAGCCTGACCTGGGCGTGGGCCCGGGCCCTGCCGGGGACAGCTTGCTCCAGGTGAACGAGTCCAGGCTGAAGGTGTACACGTCGTTGTAGTAGATGTAGTCCCTGCAAAGGGACACGTGCCTCCCTGAGAGGACATCAGCAAAGGGACACACCTCTGCCGACAGGACATCAGCAAAGGGACACACGCCACAAGAGGATGTTGGGGCAAGGCCAGGGTGTTAAACTAGTGCACCTGAGTTAAAATGTTCTGCACTATGAAGTTCTCATCTTAATTTAGAGGCTAAATTTAAATGAAAGACTGCAAACACTGGTTTGAAAACTAAAAATAATCCTAGCACACAGAAGCATAGTCACTTACTCATTGGCAAAATCAAAATTAATTAATTATTACATTGGGCTACTCTGTGTGTAACTTTACGATCACAGTGAGCCAGACTGTGGAAACACTGTGACTGACTGTCATGCGTGGATGAGGGGGCAGAGCACCCCACAAAAACTCCTCGTGGTCAGGAGGCACCAAGAGAAGCCACACAGGCCCTCCGGCCCGCCCTGCTCAGCACCTGTGGACGCACAGGCCCGGGGACTCAGCACAGACTGGGATGCAGAAAAGGAACGGGAGACTGTAAGCACAAGCCCAGCTCTGCAGACAAAAGACCCAGCTGTAGACCAACACGGAAGAGCCCGCCATTCTCCAAGCCTGCAGAGCAGCTGCAGCCTCTGCTCTGCAGACCCTACCTCCTCAGTAAGGACTTGAAGTAGGAACAGCTATGCACAGTACCATCTGCCCTTCCTACACTGAGAGAGTGTAGGAAAGGACGCACATGAGCCAATGGCTGCCACCTACACCCCACAATGCAGACTTCCAGTAAAGAGAGTGTATTTTTCATTAAGGTAAATAGCAGCTACTCCAAAGGAAGTTCAAAAATTTGGTCGGGTGCCGGTGGCTTACCCCTATAATCCTAGCTACTCAGGAGGGTGAGATCTGAGGATCGCGGTTCAAAGCCAGCCCAGGCAAGAAAGTACCTGAGACTCTTATCTCCAATTAACCACCAGAAAACCAGGAGTGGGGCTGTGGCTCAAGCAGTAGAACACTTGGTTTGAGCTGAAAAGCTGAGGAACAGTGCCCAGGACCAGAGGTCAAGCTCCATGACCAAAAAAAAAAAAAAAAAAAATCAAACTAAGGCTGAGAAGGTGGCTCAGTGGTAGTAGAGTGCTTGCCTAGCATACATGAAGCCCTAGGTTCGATTCCTCAGCATCACATAAACAAATAAAGGCTGGAAGTGGCACTGTGACTCTAGTAGTAAAGCTGGCCTTGAACAAAAGAAGCTCAGGGACAGTGCCCAACCTTGAGGTGAAGCCCCAGGACTGGCAAAAAAAAAAAAAAAGTTAAACTGGCCAGGCGATGATGGCTCACACCTGTAATACTGCTACTCAAGAGGTTGAGATCTGAGGATTACGGTCCAAAGCCAGCCCTGGCAGAAAAGTCCATGAAGATTCTTATCTCCAATAACTATTCAGAAAAAGCTGAAGTAGCACTGTGGCTCAAATGGTAGAGCACTAACCTTAAGCACAAAGAGGCTCAGGAACAGTGCCCAGGCCCTGAGTTCAAGCCCAGGACAGGCCCCCTCTTCCCAAAAAAGAGTCAAACTGATTTAACACAGTGTTATTACCTCTCTGTGTCCAAAATACTTCCTAAATAATAGCTAAAATCATGGTGAAACTTTACCAAAGCTCTAAGTTCACAGCCACTGAGAAAGGTTGTGCTGCTCTTACTCTCTGCCCTGAACACAGAATTTCCAGGTGAATTCAGAAGAGTTTAGCTATAGAAAGTCCACCCCAAATATGTCAGAAAAAACAATTTTTGCTCTGGTACCAACCTTGTACTCTCATGGAAGCCACCAAAAAGAACTAGCTGTCTCTTCCAGGCCACCATCCGATGGCCACTCCTACCAGAAGGGCCTCCTGTAGATCTAAAGTGCAGAAGAAGGAAAAAAGTTACGATATTCCTTCATTCCAACAAAGTAGATATAAAACCAGTCAAGAGCCAGGTGCTGGTGGCTCATGCCTGTAATCCTAGCTACTCAGAAGGCTGAGATCTGAGGATCACAGTTCAAAGCCAGCCAGGGCAGGAAAGTCTGTGAGACTCTTATCTCCACTGAACTACCAAAAACTTGGAAGTGGAGCTGTGGTTCAACTGGCAGAGCACTACCCTTGAGCCAAAAAGCTGGGGGACAGTGCCAAAGTCACGCACAGACACACACAATGGGGAGATTAAAGACAAATGATAATTTAAAAAACAAAACCAAAAAAACAGCATGGGGAAAAAAAAAGATACATTGAAACCATAAAAATAATAGGAGGGCTGGGAAGGTGGCTCAGTGGTAGAGTGCTTGCCTTGCGTGCATGAGGCCCTGGGTTCAATTCCTCAGTACCATATAAGCAGAAAAAGCCAGAAGTGTCACTGTGGCTCAAGTGGTAGAGCACTAGCCTTGAACCGAAGAGCTGAGGGAGCGCCCAGGCCCCACAACCGACAAAAAAAAAAGTGGGGGGGAACCTAAGCCTAGTCACTCAGGAGACTGAGATCTGAGGAAGGCGGTTCAAACAGCCTGGGCAGTAAAACCTGTGAGACTTATCATCAATTAACCACCAGAAAACCAGAAGTAGAGCTGTGGCTTAAAGTGGTAGAGCACCAACCTTGAGCAGAAGAGCTCAAGGACAGCACTCAGCCCCCGAATTCAAGCCCCATGACTGACCGAAAAATAAAAAGGAACCTAAATATAACCAACTTTCCAGTCATCGAAGAATTGCAAAGCAAAGATTTTTAACAACTAAATTAAGATACTTAATGTCATGGAAAAACCGCTCAGAAAATAGTAAGTAAAATGGCAGGTTACAAAACACAGTATTACATAAGATTCCCGTGGCTTTAGAGTGGTTCTATTACCGTCTCTCTTCCGTGTGTTTCCCAAGTTTTCTCCAGTGAACACCATCAGGGAGAGGGAAGGAGTGGAGCGGGTAGGACAGGGCAGGATGCGGAGGACAGGCCTGAGAGGGGCGCTGTCACCCAGCGTGGGGCCAGCACAGCTGAGCTGCGATGAGGCATGAGGCAGGGCTAGGGGTCTGCACCCAGTGCTGAGAGACGCAGGCTGCTGGCCCCAGAGGCTGACCCCAGCTGAGCCAGCACCCCTTGGGGATGGCCAGCTTCCGCAGTGATGGAGCCCTTACTGCTCCACAACAATCTCACCCACTTCAGGCGGCAAAGGGTGGGTCCAAATGGGATCTCCCGTGATGTGGTACCCACTTACAGTGCAGAGTTCATGGACTCTGTGCATGCCATGCAGCTTTCCCCCACAGCCATGTGCAGGGTTTTATGCAAAGTGCCACAAATGGCAAACACCCTCCCAAATGCATCCACACTTAGAACCTTCAAGTCCAAGGCACGCTGGGCCAGCCAGTCCCAATAGCCACCTCTTACCAACAAGCCACGGGGTCACTCACACACACCGCCAGGGTGCCCGCCAGCACCTTCCCTCACCTCAGAGCCAGCCCACTTGCTGGGCACTGGTGGCTCACGCCTGTCATCCTAGCTACCAGGAGGCCGAGATCTAATGATCTTGCTTCAAAGCCAGCCCGGGCAGGAAACTCCATGAAACTCTTATCTCTAATAAACCACCAGAAAACCGGAAGTGGCGCTGTAGCTCAAATGGTAGAGCCTCGCTTGAGCTGAAGAGCGCAGGGACAGCGCCCAGGCCCAGAGTTCAAGGCCCACGACCAAAAAAAAAAAAAAGAACCAGCCCACTCGTCTCAAATGCTCAACTGTTCCTTTCAATTCATTCAAAACAACCTCCACACTGTTGCAGAAAGCCAGCCAGCAGCCACTACTAGAGGTCCCGCTCCAACACCCATGTGTTCCAGCATACTCACACACTCACACACACACACGCACGCACACGCACGCACATACACGCTTGCTGCAATACTGCACTTTACCCAGCACTCTGATTCCACCATCGAGAGCAGCTGGTCTTGAGTTCTTCCTCCTTCATCCTGTGTTCACACACCTCCCATAAAGGCAATGAGGTTTAGTACACAAAGATGGTTTTGCGTGCTATGCATTTAACAAATGTCCTTGCTTTCACCCCTAGGTCCACACTGTTCCCAAACATCCTGCTGCCGAAACTCATGATCAGAGCAGCAGGCGTGACAGTGCCTGGACAGAGGGTCCCGGCACTGCATGCTGTGTCCTGGCAGGCTCAACAGGAAGTGCCTGCCACGTGGACCATGGCTATGCGTGCTGCACGAGGGGGTGGGGGGAAGCCCTCCTGGCAAGCGGGCGGGAAGCCTCCCGGTGAGTGGGTGATGCGGCCTCACACTGTGACAAGCCACATACAATACACACTAGCACTGGGACAGGAGGGCAGTGTTACCCTGGGCCAGAGGCCCACCCCCTCTGCGCCTGGGTGCTACATCCCTGTCACGAGGCGCCAGTGTCCTTTTGGCACACGCCGTCACTGGTGGGCAGCCCACAAGAGCCAGCAAGAGGCGTGCATGTCTGTCCCATCACATACTCATGATTTCGCAGGCGCCAGCCTGCTTTAGAGCAGCCTGGGGAAGAGGCTCTCCTCCAGCAAGCAAAGCAGGGCCCACTATCACCCAGACACAGGGCACCCCAGGCGTTGCACGGGGCAGGGCAGGACAGCAGCGGGCGCTGTGGCACCCGGGCCCACACCTCCGCGGAACCCCGCTGCATCATCTGCAGGTGGGCCAGGCACCAGGGCTCAAACAATGAGCCATGACAACAGCCAGGGCCGCGGTGCTTTGTAACTAAAGTGGCAAACACTTCTATAAAAAGGTACATCCCCTGACGAAAATTAAAGTCACAAGAAATAAGCACGTTTAGATCCGCATCTCCAACAGGCTTTTCAATTGCCATCAGTCCCATGGAGTCTTAAAAAACTGGCACGGTCCACTCAGTCAGAAGTCTATATACAGCACGCACGCACGCACGCACGCACGCACACACACACACACACACACACACACACACACACACACACACACACACACACACACACACAATGCTGTGGGTGCCCAAGTTTTCAGCTCCTTTGGGCTGTGCACAGAATAGCATTCCCACAGGCACAGTGCCACCTGACGTCACCGGGCCCCCTCTACTGGGCCACCACCTGACAGTCACAGCAAACATCTATGTGTCCAATAGCGCCACAGGCTGAGGATGCAGAGCGGAGTACACAGCCCACAGTGCGTCCTCAGTCAGTTTAACGTTTACACCTCACAACACTGTGTGCGGTAGTAGCCCTGCCGAGCCAGGCAGCCCGAGGCATGGTCGGGAAGAGGAGCATGCCCTGCAGGGCTGAGGGTTAAGGCTGACAAAGCAGGCCATCCAGGGGCTTGTCCTCAGAATGACAATGCTCCCTCCCTGAACGCAGTCAGGTAGGTGAACACACAGGTTTCCCTTCAGAGGGCACCAGTGCAGTCCCAACCCCTCTCCAAGCCCGTGCAAGCAATGGAGCTCTCTCCAACAGAGGTCCATCTGCATTGGCACTGGAAGATGCTCACCAGCACACCAAAGCCCAAAGGCACAGAACTACGGCCTCCCTCTGCCTGAGATAGACTCACCAAGTTCAAGACATGGACACATGTGCACACCAGCACCATGTGTAAGAACTGCAGCTCTAGCTGGGCGCCGGTGGCTCACACCTGTAATCCTAGCTACTCAGGAGGTTGAGATCTGAGGATCACAGTTCAAAGCCAGTCTGGGCAGGAAAGTCCGTGAGACACTTCTCCCCAATAAACCACCAGAAAACCGGAAGTGGTGCTATGGCTCAAGCAGTAGTGAGCTCGCTTTGAGCTGAAGAGCACAGGGACAGCACCCAAGCCCAGAGTTCAAGCCCCATGACTGACTAAAAAAAAAAAGAACTGCAGCAATCAGAAGTGGAGTGGTGCCGGGCACCAGTGGCTCACGTCTGTCATCCTAGCTACTCAGGAGGCTGAGCTCTGAGGATTGCAGTTCAAAGCCAGGCCAGGCAGGAGAGTCTGTGAGACTCTGATCTCCAATTAACCACCAGAAAACTGAAAGTGGCGCTGTGGCTCAAGAGGTAGAGTGCTCACCTTGAGCTGAAGAGCAGAGGGACAGCGCCCAGGCCCAGAGTTTAACCCTTTCAAATGACAAAAAGAAAAGTGGAGCTATGATTCAACTAAGCTGCAGTGCCCAGGCAAAGTTCAAGCCCCAGGGCTGACATGAAGGAAGGAAGGGTAAAAAAGAAAGAAAAAGATGGGGCTGGGAAGGTGGCTCAGTGGTAGAGTGCTTGCCTTGCATGCATGAGGCCCTGGATTCGATTCCTCAGCACCACATAAGCAAAAAGAAAAAAGCCGGAAGTGGTGCTGTGGCTCAAGTGGTAGAGCGCTAGCCTTGAGCTGAAGAGCTGAGG